ATAGAACCCCTATATAACCCCATATAACCCCTATAAACCCCTTTAAGGGGGTCTGGGATGCTGAGGATGTTGCAAGTTGCTAAAAGAGGTTCTTGAGCTCCGGATGCTGCGATGACCTCGGCACTCCAAGACTTGGGGGCTTGGGTCTTGGGGTTTGGGGTTTAGGGTTTAGGGTTTAGGGTTTAGGCTTTGAGGTTTTTTTGTTTGCAGCTCCTTTTTCCGCCTGCTAGAGGTCAGAAGGCGCAGGTTGCGCAGGAGCGAAAACAGCCAGCACACAGACTTCACAAAAGCCTTCAGCACACAACGAATCTTCACTGTAGGCAATAGGGTTTAGGGTTTAGGGTTTCACTTAAAGTTGTGTTTCTCAAGGTTACTTGATTGGGATTCTTACTCGGACCCCGAAGAGGTACTATACTGGAGGATCCAGGTAATGTTCATGGCTCAGGGGTTCAGGCTTCAGATTTAAAGCATAAGGGTCCCAGACCCCTGGGCGGATCTAGAAACTAGATACCGTTTAAGGGTTCCTAGCAATTACCCGAAGTAGTAGTGTAGGGTACCACAGGGGGGGTTCCACATTCTAGATCCCAGGGGTCTGGGCCCATGGACTTGCGCATTTGTCTGCGCGGAAACAAATTAACGAAACTGTGGAGCCTGTGTGGATCTCACCTTTTCCGATGAGAAAACCTAAGCATGTGCTAGTTGCTGAAACATGGGTCCACCGTTTGCACAAAATTTTCATTTCTCAAATACCCCGAAGAAGAAACCCCTCATTTTTGAGAAACTCGTCCCACGATCCCTCCCACTTTCCCGGAGTACCCCTGCACTTACGGCATGAAGTTCCAATTCCTGCACGCTGAACCCTGACCCCTCGAATCCGACACAATCCTAACTAATGCCGAGCTTGGTTGCTTTAGCAGACGCCCTCACTCTCACATGACTCTCGTCGGGTCCGAATTTGGGGGGTGGGTTTCCAAACTCCTGACCCCTAAACAACCCGATCCCTGAACTCAAAATCTCTAAAACCCCGAATCTCTTTGCAAACCTTGAACCCTTATCTGCCGGAAGGCCGAAACTGCAAACCCTCCCTAAGATAGACGTTGCCGTTTCATTGTCCATTTTCCTTTTCA